TCCTCGAATTTTAGGCGGAATGGGAGTTGTAATTCTTTCTACTTCTCGAGGTATAATGACAGACCGAGAGGCTCGACTAGAAGGAATCGGCGGAGAAATTTTGTGTTATATATGGTAATCCTTATTATATCCGAATTCGATCCAAAACTTCCTATTTGTGAAAAAAAAAATAAAAAGGGCGGATTGTCTAATCTCGTTCCTCCTCCATTAGTTAATACTTCAAGGAGGTTTTACCTGGAATGAAAGAGCAAAAATGGATTCATGAAGGTTTAATTATTGAATCGTTTCCCAATGGTATGTTCCGAGTTCGTTTAGATAATGAAGGTCTTATTCTAGGTTATGTTTCAGGAAAGATCCGACGTAGTTTTATATGTATACTGCCAGGAGATAGAGATAAAATTGAAGTAAGTCGTTATGATTCAACCAGAAGGTGTATAATTTATCGACTCCGCAACAAGGATTCAAATGATTAGGCGGTTTTTAACTTTGCCATTCCTTTCCATGGGAATACGATTCGAGATTTAAAATTTAAAGAAACTTATTTTCTTCCAAGAAGTAGATCCAAAATTAAGGTAAGGAATGGCAAACATGAAAATAAGAGTTTCTGTTCATAAAATTTGTGAAAAATGCCGACTAATCCATAGGCGGGGACGAATTAGAATAATTTGTTCCAACCCGAAACATAAACAAAGACAAGGATAATCTAAAAGAAACTCTTTAAAAGACCCGATATACAAATATCGGATCTGTTTTGAATGGAAATGGATATATCCATATATCTCTGACTCATATTTATGAGATGATAAAAAATGGCAAAGACTATACCAAGAATTGGTTCACGTAGGAATGGACGTATTGGTTCACATAAAAATACACATAGAATACCAACTCTTATTACTCGGGTAACTAAAACATTAAGATTAAAAATATCCAAATGACATTATTTAAGATATCGTCACTCAAAGAGGATGGTCTCAAGGCTTATTTGAGATGATTTTAGTGGAGTTATGTATAAATCCTAATAAATGGTTATTCAATAACTCTTATGATAATTAATAATATTTTTCATCAAACATCAAACACTATTAAAAAACGTCACTAATTGCTAATTTTCAGCAACAGTTCAAAAATTATCATAAAAAATGTCACTAATTATAAATTTTAACAATAGTTTAAAAAAATCGTCATAAAAAGGGTCACTAATTTTTAACTTTTAGCTATAGTTTGAAAAATTCGTCAAAAAAAAGTTACTAGTTATAAATTTTAGCGACAATTTATAAAAATTGTAACAAAAAAGTCACTAATTGTCTATTTTTAGCGACATGTAAAAAATTGCTACAACAGATAATTTTTAGCGATGATTTTATTAAGATTTATTTTCAATAAGATTTGAGAAGAATTAAAGTCTAACTATTAGGACCTATTAATAGTTTACCATGATTGTTTATGTGTGGTAGTTCAATATTCATTGAATGGTGTCTCTTTGGAAGAATCCCCCCATTAGAAGAGTTCTCCCTCTTCCATGATGTGGTCCGTGTAGAAAGAAAGAATTAAAGAGCAACTTTTATACTGTGTTTGGTTGAGAGATTTGATAAGAAATTTAGAAAAGAAAACTAGGTGAAATGTAAGTATATTTTATTCATATTTTACCTACCTCTCCCCTTTCCTTTACCAAATGAGTGATGTTCACCTAACATTTTTGTATAATGGTATCACTAGTGGGTCGAAGATATGTAATATCTTATCGCTAGTGGTGGTGAAAAGAAATAGCCAAAGCAATCGGTAAAGAGAGAAGAGAGGCGTTGCTTTGTTTGAAGATGATGGTCATGTGGTGAGTTTATAAAAGTAAAATTCTCAACTCAACGAGTTAACTCAATTTGAGGGTAATTTGATATTTAAAAGTTTTAGTTTTTGAGGTCCAACGAAAGTTGTTTGCTAACTCTTAAGTAATGGAAGGAGTAAGTTGTAATGTGATTGCAAACCATAAAGAGATTTCAATACATGAGGGATGTATGGCCATGTTTGTTTAGGTGAATTGGATTATGTTAGATTAACATTTTCATGACTAATAATCTTAGGACTACGAATTCCTTTGAATTATGTATCATATCCTATATTTGGATTGGGATAAGATTATAAGGAAAGACTAATAGTCCAGATTTTGACTTAATTCTCCAATTTACATCTCATCCCCTCTGTGAGATTGAATAGTCCATAATATATGGGATAACATATCCGGATGGATTGTTAATCCGTACTTCAATTGTTTAATCAAATATCGGATTAATAATTTTATTAAACTATTAGTCCAATCTCAAGCTTATGTCCACCCAAACAAACATGACTTATGTGTATTAAGAATAAACCTCAAGAGATGTTACTGTAATTTACCGTTGTTTATTAATTGACTTATTTAATGATCTAACTAGTTGTAAATGAACTTGAATAGCTAGAAGTTAGGGTGCTGGTGCCGGATAAAGGGGAATAGTTCAGGCATCGT